TTAATAAAATTAAAACCATCAGTGCACAATTTTCCACACCACAATCTGTCAAGCACATCTTACCAGCAAACATCACACATCCTTCTCTTCACTCTCTAAAACAGAAGTCTCCAAACTCATCCTTTCTAATTTCTCATCCTGTCCGCTTGATCCTATTCCATCTCATCTCCTTCAAGCCATTTCTCCTGCCGTTGTACCTGCACTCACTCACGTCGAGTTCACAGCATTTAGACAGGCTCGTATAACCCCTCTACTTAAGAAACCCACCCTTAACCCATCTCATTTTAGAGAACTACAGACCTTTTACAGACCTACAGTCCTTTCATTGCAAAAACACTTGAATGAGCTGTGTTCAACCAAGTCTCTGCCTTTCTCACACAGAACAACCTCCTCGACAGCAACCAGTCTGGTTTCAGAAGTGGACATTCAACCGAGACTGCCTTGCTCTCAGTTGTTGAAGCCCTAAGACTGCAAGAGCAGATTCCTAATCTTCAGTACTTTGCTGGATCTGTCCGCTGCTTTTGACACGGTTAAACACCAGATCCTCCTGTCAACCCATACCGGCAAAGGGTATCTCAGGAACCGCACTCCAGTGGTTTGAGTCTTACCTCTCAGATAGGTCCTTCAAGGTATCTTGGAGAGGTGAGGTGTCCAAGTCGCAACATCTAACTACTGGGGTGCCTCAGGGCTCAGTTCTTGGACCGCTTCTCTTCTCTGTCTACATGGCATCACTAGGTTCTGTCATTCAGAAACATGGCTTTTCATATCACTGCTATGCTGATGACACTCAACTCTACCTCTCATTCCATCCTGATGATCCGACGATAGCTGCTCGCATCTCAGCTTGTTTAACAGACATTTCTTGCTGGATGAAGGACCATCACCTTCAATTCAACCTTGCCAAGACAGAACTGCTTGTGGTTCCATCAAACCCATAATTTCATCTCAATTTCACCATCCAGATAAGCACATCAACCATAACTCCTTCAAAAACAGCCAGAAACCTTGGAGTTATGATTGATGATCAGCTGACTTTCTCAG